GATTCAGTTATATTCAGGAAATTAAGAAGCAGGAAAGCAGTGGATTTTAGAACAAGAACTTGAACAAGAGACTTCAGCTTGGTACTCAATCAACTTTTAAAAAAAATCAATTAAATTGTTTAAACAAAAAGTTATTCTCTGAAGATTTTGGTCAATCAAGGTTTTACTGAATTTCATGAGGTCTCAACTTTACATTGCTCCAAAAAATATATTTAGCATTTCAGCATACGTAGCTCAGAAAAGCCAGGACACCAAACTGTCAGAAAACCACTGCTGGCTTTTCCTTTTTCATTAGGACTTTTACTGACACAAAGTGATGAACAGTAGCATGGAAATTCATGAACTTGCAATAATACTTCCCACTATCCAGTAGGAAAGGGAACACTCAATTTAAAGCGAAGATGACGTCTCTCTCTGAAGAGCAGAGGATCAGTTCCATCACTCATTCGCACCTACAACAGAATGTTCATTCTTGGCCCAGAAAGGCTGAAATCACCTGTCAGACACATACCGCCAAACAGCAAATGCCAGGATTCATCCAGGCAATCAATGAGTTGCCACAGCAACTTTGCTTAGAAAATACGGATTTCACACACATTCATCAGCCTCTCTAGAATTCCCCCACATCCCCAGTACCATGATAATCAATGTGACAACTGGTTTCTGGACAGTGATTAAAGGGCCACATTGGTTTTTGGTTGGCTATATTTTAGATATATCCAGATTCACGTGACAACCATCTGTCAGTGGAGTCTTGGGCAACTAATAACTTGATAGCCAACGCGAAGGGTTTTTCCTTCTTAAGCAAAGACATAAGAAGGGGTGATGAACTTAAATCACTGCAGTAGACCTGGGAGACAAGAGAACAGGCAGCAAAAAGAATGTCTTCTCTGCTGAAAAGTGAATAAACCAACAGTGGTCATTTAAGTAGTTCTGCTCTAACACAGGGATATAAACTGGTTGAAGAAAAGAATTCCAAAAAGATTAAAGTTCTTTAACATTGTAGGATAGGATTTTCCCAACACATTTATTTGAACACCCAAGCTTTGCCTCCATAACCACGATATCTGGTACAACAGGGAAAGAGAGTCTCTAAACAGTTTAATTGTTGGGCCTGGCAGGCATGGAATTTCACCTGGCCAACAAAAGAACATGTACCCGGACATCCTGAAATGACTGCAATCATTCCCATTTTCTTTAATTACTCACCGTAGCCTATAATAGTTGGCCCATTGCCTTTGTGATGAACAGCCCTTGTCTTCTGCTGGAAGAGGTCCCTCTCACGCTCCCCCAGCACACACAGCTGCATGGAGCCCGCTCGGGTCACGTCTGTGTGCAGCAAGAAAGCTTTCTGTACACATGGGATTACACATAGTGTTCTAGTGTACTTGCTGGGGAACACATTATGGCTCTTAAACTGAAAAAACAAAGTTTTTAAAATTCCAAATGTTGACAGTGATTCCTTGGAGAGGAAAAAGGCAGGCCCTAGAAATGGCAGAAAGACATTCCAGAAAGAGTAGACTGATTTTTAGTAAGGTGCCCATCAAATCTGGTTTAAAAATCAGAAGGCAGTCATCAGCGGCCTGCTATTATGTGTATTCTTGCCCAGTGGACAATGCAGTACACTGGGTCCTAGGCTCAGCCCTGCCTGAAAGCCAGGGGATCTTAGATAAATCACATGAACTCCCTGGGCTTCCACATCGTCTTCAGTAGGACTGGGGACCAGTTTGAGTCCCACTGTGTCACAGCGTTTGACGATGAAGTGAAATGATGCACATGGAAGCATTCTGCAACCTATCATCACATATCCAAGAAGATGAAGTTAGTCTATTCGCATGCCACTGAATATGCTTATAGTATTTGGCAGAGTTTCTAGACAATGTAGGTTAAGATGCCTTTATGGTCACCCTGAAGATTCTGGCCTAATTTTACTTTCTTAACTACTTCTTGACACTGCCCAAAATGCTGAGCTGCTAGTAGCCTGTGTGGAACACACATGCCACATTTTCCTATGCTGTTTTCTCAAGCCTGCCTGTCACACTTTCCCAGGCACTCAGTTCGAACACTCCACGTGTGTGTGGCCTGCAGAAGTCATAAACTCACATTCACAAAGCAGACACTAGAAGGAGTTTCATGGAAAAGATAAAAAATAGGTCTTAAGTGTCAAGCAATATTAAGGCTCTGAGTCTAATATTAATTAGGAATAGAGAAAAAACACTTCAAAATCATCACAGAACTGATAATTAATAATTGATTCACATGCAAATCTTAAGAACATGTATCTGTATTTTCTAAAATGAGAAAACCTAATTCCCCTAGTAGCCCACTGAGCTGCAAAGGAAATAGAACTGCGAGGACTTGAAGATGGGAGGAGGACAAAGCCTCACCCCAGGGTTTGCACACTCTAAGGCAGGGGTTTGGAGGAAGAGCAAGCCTCTGCTCCTTCCCAATACCAACAGCCAGAGAAAATGCTCCACTTTTAGGAAACCGAACCATATTCAAATATTCATTTGAGGCCGAGTGGGGGAGAGTTGTGGGTGGGGAGATTCAAGAGGACATGACCAATGCGGAAGTTAGAGCGAAGGCATTCAACTCCCCTTCCAGTCCCAGGTTTGACAGTGGAACACAAAACGTTTACCAACAAAAGGTTGTAGTCCTGCTTTAAGGAAATATAGACAAGTCCAGTAATTTGTCTTTCTAGGTGACCCTCATTCTTCTGCCCTCTCTCAAATACACCCACACAAAGATTTCCTGAGTAAAGCCCTCAGTTATTATCCAGAACTATAACTGTTCCCGTTAGAAATGCCAACTACCCAGTTTGCTGGTGCCTTATAAACTGGCCCCTCTGCATGTCCTAGGTACTGCCAACTGCAGTTCTCTGAATGGGAAGTTGTGTACGTATTTAAAAGACAGGCTCTTGTTTTTCATAGCACATAGAAAAAGAAAAAAGCCATCAATCTGACATTTTATTAGGAGTGACTAGAAATAACAGGCTCCTAACTATTTACTGAATTGAATAATGTATTAAACAGTAAAAATTAATTAATTTATAAAAGATTTTGCATCCATATCCTGCAGGAAAATCTAGATTTCAAACCATGAGCACAGAAATGAAAAAACTGACTTCTACACATAAACCGGGCACAGCCCTCACTTAGCTCCTATTAAGGAAAGTATTTTAACTTAAGTAGTCACAATGACTCTATATTTGAGGAAAACTATATAAGCAAATAGATGAGTGATTTCCAGGGGTTGGGGTTAAGTGGAGAGGGTGGACCACAAAGGGGACTTCTGGTGGGTGATGGAACTGTTCTGTCTTGATCGTGGAGGTGATTATGTGACAGTGTGCAACAGTCAGAATTCATAGAGTGATACACCTAAAGAGGTGAGATTTCACCCCATGTAAATTATACTGCAATAAGCTTGACTTTTCAAAATGCTATTAAGTCTAAAACAACGTACTAGGCACTGAATAATGAAGTCTAAAATTCACGCATGCATTTCTCAAGGGTTCTAGACATAATTATCAAAAAACTTACCAGTAAATGATTCAAGTTCAGCCTTCAGTAGTCTATACAATTATTTTATTATTTATAGATATTATGTAAAATGATTCAAAGCATGAACTAAAATTATCATAAGATGTATTTGAATCATTATCTGTTAGATATACATTTATAGAAAATTGCAGTGTCTTATTCTTAAAATTGGCCATATCAATACCTATTAAATGCTAATTATATTTTTAAGGGCTGAATTTACTACCTAATTTTACCTATTCCATGTTATAAATGAATTGAGAAATATAAAGCGTGATTAGATTTATTTGCAGCCCTCAGAACCACTATGAAAGCTGTCCTAAATGTGTTTTTAATTGACTTCAATGACTTATATGTCTTAAGTGTTACAGGGGACTGGTGGCTTTCAAAATAGGAGTGTTTCAGTAATTCAACTGAAAAAAAAATGCTTAAATGTAAAATGGAATCTTAAGGTTACATTTTTCCCTCTTCTGGAATGTATGCAGAAACATACATATATTTTCTGCAGAAAAAATAAAAGTCAAAGAATAAGTGTGTAACACTCTTTTCATCGTTTACAGTACATTTACTTTTTACAATACTGACAGCACAAATCTTTCTTTTCATGTGTTCGGTTTTTAAATAACATCTTTCCCCCACACACAAAGGAAAACAGCCACTGTGAGTGTAGAAACATAGAACAAAAATGAAAATTCCTAATGGAATGCCCATGTAAATACTAGAAATCTAACAAAATGAAATAAAAATCTTTCCTCAAAAGTGTTGTGTACCACACCAAAGCACAAAGTTGCTTTCTAAAAAGCTAACAAAATTGAGTCAACTTTATCTTCCTAAATAGAAAACCACTCAAATCCAAAGTTTTGTTTTTCATAAAAAGTATACTCCCTTGACTTAATTTTATATCCAATATGAATTAGGCAGGAATGGTAAAACAATGGGTTAAGAGAACAGTGGCTGGGTTCCTCTTCAACAAATACAACAGCCCAGATGATCTTAATCTTGCTCAATCAGAATTAACTCTGCTTTCTGATATGACTAAAGTATGCCAGGCAATATATTTGAAAATACGGGCCACCTGCCTGATGCATGCACATCTTCCCAGGCCCATAAAACTCAAGATGAAGTGCCCTGGTCAACTTTCCCACTGCCACCGTTTCACCCACTGTCAGGAAACCCGTAGAGAAAACACAGAGAAGTTTTTTTTCTTTTAAAAGACATGTATATTAGCACAATCGACACAGCGCTCACAGGCACAAATTAATTAGTTAATTTGCCAGCGTCTTGGATGAAAATATTTAGTCAGAACATGAAATTACTGTTTCCAGTAGTTTTCCAGGCGGGTAGATTTGGCGGGGGTTGGGGGTGGGGTGTCTTTTATTGTTCCCAGTATTACTGTTTCCCCATCGCTAGATTCCAAACAGAAAAGCAGTTAAATCACACCGTGAGCGAAGGGGCACTTACCTTACTTGTAAACACCGGCCTAGGAACCGCTAGAACACGGCACGTGCTTTTCCCGGAGTAGTTCTGCTCCCCGCGTCCGGCAGCAGCACCACCTGCGGAGCGTGGGCGCAGCTCGCGCAGCCCAGACCCCAAACGCCAGCCTTTACCGCAGCTCCGGATGCCAGTGGCAGCCCAGGACGGTCCCTCTCCCGCCGGGCTCCTGCCGCCTCCTCTCCGCCCTGCAAGTTTCCAGAGGCGTCTCTCGCAGCCTCTAGCTTCTAGCGGCCTAGCAGCAGGGGCAAGGGAGTGGGTGTCAAAAGGTCCACTAGCCGAAGACACTGCCAAGATCACAAACGACTTAACGAGGAGCCTCGCCTTCCTTTAAAAGACGGGGGCTGGGGGGAGGAGGAAGCCAAGAGCCCACGTGACCACCTACCCAGCTGCCGGGAGATCTCGGAAGGACCCGGGCTCCCTGCCTCCCGATTCAACTCACCTGTGCGGAGTCGAAGACCCAGGGCAGAGGCGGTCACGTGCAGGGGTACCAAAGCACAGGCGGCGCCCCTCTCCTCGGCCTTGGATCTGGAAGGTCTGGGGCGGGGCCGGAGAATGTGCATTTCTAACCAGGTCGGGGTGATGCTAGAACTGATGCTGCACGGCTGGCGGCCACACTTTGAGGAACAGGTGCCTAGGCTCTGACCCACGTTGAGTGTGAGAGGGGCCGGGTGCTTTGACGTCGTTAAATACATAAGCCTGACTCTTTAAAGCATCTAGAGGTGAAACTAGAGAGGCACTGGGTTTGTCCAGTCCCCAGCGGCAAGCGCAGCTTCGTGCCCCGAGAGGCAAGGCCACGCTGCACGGTAGGGAGGTGGAGGGTGTGGGTTCCCATCTCTCAAGGGTTGGCTGGGAAGACCTTTCGCCTTAGACCAAAGATCCCAGGGACCTCTTCAAACTCACCTACTGCAAGGAAGGGCTGGGGAGGAGGGGAGGTGGAAATCTGTGCTTGGCTGTGGAGGCGCCCCTCTTCCCCCGCGTCGCCTGTGTCAAACTCTCTCCGCGGGCGAGCGTCCCCTGGTGGCAGCTCCGGTTCCCCAGATCTGCACGGTCCCTAAGCTCTCTTTACCCACCCGGCAGTAGCCCATAGTGTGAGGACTGGTAAGACTATTTGATATTCACTAAGAAGTGACTGGTTTCTTGATGGCAAATATCGAAACGGAAGTAGCAGGTGTCCCAGAGACCATTGCTAGACTACAGTGCCATATTTGTGCCTAATTAATCATCAGACTATCCATGCACGTGGCAAAAGGGACATGGTCCTTGATCTGGTTGTGACTCCAGATTGCTGATAAAGACCAAAGGGACATTTGGAGGGAAACTTTTACAGAGCCATTGTTGGGGTTTAACCAAAAAATAGCCTAGAGGGACACTAGTGTGCTCTGGGTTTGTAAGAGTGAAGTCTGCAATTGGACTCCAAATATGGAGAGCCACCTCTTTATAAACAGTGGTTATCAAAACTTTGTACTCTCCCTACCTCCAGTTTTCATGAAAGCTTGGACTCCTGGATTCTCTCAAGTTGTAGGACAGAGTTCCCTGATCCTTGAGGCAGAGAAGTTAGTTTGGACAGGAGGGTGTGTAGCTGACAGATCCACCTGTGAAGGCAGGTAAACAAGATGCTTATCTTTGCCAACCTCTTCTCTCTGGTTCCCTCTGCTGGGCGTCTCTTCAGGTACCTAGTACCCATACACTTTTTCCTTCTTTCCACCTTAAGGAGAAAATTTTAAGTGATGGTTTTAAAAAATCAGTTATACTTCAATAAAATATGTATATAATATCAGTTCTATTTGGTAGCACTTGTCAACAAGATATCCCTGGAATGGAAATTATTACGAAGGAATTTTAGTCATAAGCCAATAGGCAGACAAAGATGCTGTGAGGGTGAAAACTGACATCTATTAAGTATCTACATCACACCGAGGGTGCACTAAGTGCTTGCACAGCAATTCATTTAATCCTCATGCTGCTCTGTGAAGTAGGCAATACTGACCCCACTTCTCAGATGAGGAAACTGAGGCTCATAGAGCTTATATCAGTGACTTGAAGCCTTGCATTGTAGGAAAGGAACCCAGTGGCAACGATGCTTTCCTAGATAGCTACTACTTATTGGGCATTTAGCTGTGTTCCACTTTCTACAATTATCTCATTTCATATACGACAAGCCTCTGAGGTATATTCTGTTGTTAATTAGCCCCATTTTACATTTGAGAAAATGGCCAGTCAGTGGCTGAGAACAACTTGAACCCAGGCCAGATCCCCGAATGCTGTTTTCTTCCATATCATAACTAAAATCAACTGGAAATGGAAGATGGCTTGAATGTCAGGACATTATATCTCCAGACAAGACCCACCTTAAAGCCCCCTGCCAACTGTGAGAAACGCTTCTGCTCAAGCCCAGAACGAGAACTAGGGCTCCGTGTTTGCTGTGATGCTTCCTTCAGAAGGTGTTCCACTCACGAGAACGGCTTGTTCTCTTTTTAAGACCCTCAAACACCCACAGAAGCTATTTGTTACACAAGGAAACCTCATTGCAGGAAATGTTAAGCAAAAGAATGAATGAGAGTGAGTACATTTCCTTCTGACTCACTCTGTGGATCAAGAACAATAATGGTACCTTAGGGATGGAAACTGCCTAGTTTAATACAGTGAGTGGGGAGGGTGATTATTCCAACCCCCTGAACCAGGACCAAAAAAAGGCATTCTTGAAACAGTTAATACCATTAGCCAAAAAGCACTTGAAATCTAGTGCTGAGGATGTGCCCTGTTCAGCAGCGTCACAGTCTCATTTCCACCTCACTCATGAGCTGCCTAAGGAAGCATCCCCATGCTATGACACTGAAAGGCTTTCCTCGCCCAAAATATCCTACAACAGGGACTGAAGTGTTTGTTTATCATTCAGTCATCCTTTGGGGTTAAAGCACTGGATTGTTAAAATTCAGTTATCTTCTATGTGATGGGTAGCATGCATAATTACATTCATAAGATGAGCTTGCAAGATGAGCTAGATGTCACCTGGGAAATCAAAGGAAGTCAGAGTAAGACAGGTACATTTTTCAGTAGGAGAAAGGAAAGCCTCTCCATCAGGGTGCACCTTCCTCATCTTCTCATCCCATCCCTTCTCTGTCTAGTGAAGTATTACCCATCCCAAAGCCAGGAGCCTTAGTAAAGTGAACACTGTGACAGCCCAGCAGAACGTGCACACTGCCTCCCGTACAGCACTCAGCCTACCTATCAACTCTGCCTGTGCTGTGATTGCACCATGCACGTCTTGTATCTCTAGCATCTCTCACGGTGGCATAGCCCCCACCTAATACCACCCAGGAATTCAACAAATACCTCCTGAAGGCTTCAACTTGGAAAAATCAGAGGGAAAGGGGAGGGATTTTCTGTAGCAAAGAAACTACCAGGAAGCTAAATAAATAAGTAAAATCCTGTTCAAGACAAGAAAGCAAAAGCTGATGTGCAAAATGTATAGGCAGAGGATTCTCACAAATGACTAGAAAGTGTCACGCCATATAGGATGGCTGGGGATCGTCTCTCTTCTCAGCCTGAGGCCAAGTGGGAAGATTTAGGTCCTGGGATGCTCTTACCTGCTCCAAAGTATAACAAGATCAGGCTCATTCTTCATATTATGTGGGTACGAATTGCTCTGTTTTAAGAGGATATGAGAGATAAAACCCTAAACTTATGGAATTAATAAAAGGGAAGGGAAAGATTGGTTGCACCTGCATTAACACATGTATTTTGGGAACATGGTATTACCAGTGCAGTATATTAGAGGTTATCTCAGATGCTCATAAATCAGGGTTCATATAATAAGCTTTGATTTTTGAAAGTCCAATTCCGGTAGAGCTCTTCAGGATCATGTCTTATTCGAAATAAAAATGCACGTAATATTTATGCAATCTTTTCGATCCCAGTGCCACAGTAGGCAGGCCTGCACAGGTTGGTTTATTTTTATTTCATTTTTATCCTCATAACATCCCTGTGGCCATCCCTACTTTATAGATGGGAAAATGAAGCTCAAGGAGATGACATTTTTGGTAAGATCACCCATGTGCATGTGGCAGAGTGACGGTTCCAACCCAGTGTCATCTGCCTGCTAATCCCTTGCTTTCTCTGCTGTAACCCTGTGATGCTTTCCTTATTTGCTGTGTAAACTGAGGCATATTTGTCCAGTAGAGCCTGGATATTGCTGAATGAGTTTTTGCCAAGTTGTTGCCTAGGCATGACCACCTGTGTGCATATTTACATAACTTTATTCTTTACTGACGTGTTTTACTGGAACCTCTAGTAAGGTGACCAAGAACATAGGCAGCAAGGCAGACCTAACCTGATACCTGGACACCCAGACCACAGGACAAGGTTACTCTGACCCACAGGTAAAATGAACCACCTGGGCAGCCAGCATATGCAGCCAACTCCTTATAAGTCACCTTATTTTTTTCAGTCTTGGTCTTTGACATTTGCAAACATACATGTAAAATAACTTTTTGTCCCATCTACTGCTCCTTGAAGGTACTTCAACTTCACACAAATCTCTCACATACCTTGGTTCCTAATTTTCTGTCCATTGAAAACAAACAACATGAAGAATATATTTTCTTGTCATCTGATTAAAGTAATTCTCTCTTGAGCTAGAAAAGCAACTAGCCCCTGGAGGTCACTGGCATGAATGTGAACACCCAGCTGAGAAACATATGTTAAATAACTTAGAAATGGTGAGAAATTGTAATATGCAATTCCACAAATGACTCAAATGCAATTCTTGAAATGCAACTTCCCTCCCTCTTCTGGCACAGAATAAGATAATATTAATAAGACGTCTGACAGTATAATATTCCCAGAAATAAGGTCAAAAAGGAGATAGAGTATAGACAGACATGGCTTAAGGGGCCATAGATTCTAATAAGACTGTCTGATTCCATAGAGTTTAGAATTCCAAAAAACTGACTAAATTTTATCTACTTCTTGTAAACGTATTTACATTTTCCAGTTCTTTGTTCATAACATGGAAAGTTACTAGAAATGTCTCATGTCCTTTAGACTTACATCAACTAACACTCTAGTGATGCACATTGCATCAGTGGCCTTTATAAAAACACAGACCCTGTCTTTTGTGTACAGAGAAGGTGCTTCTTTCACATATGTTATAGATTGAACTGATAAGCCTAAGCAGAGAAAGAAATGGTCTCCATTATTCAATCCTCTCCTTTGCTGGGAATTACAGCCAAGAAATAAACTTCTCTAAATAATTCATACAGCTTCTGAGGGATTGCCAGTGTTGTCCAACATACTAAGATTCCTGCATTCTTCCCTTTTTTCTCTTCTTTTTACACCTCTACATTTTTTTCCCTATCTACCCAGGCAGTTTTGCTCACTGGTCTCTCCTTCATGGTTCTGCTCAGGCTGCTCCCACATTCTTCCTTCTACCAGCCACAGCTTACTGAGAACTGCCTCCTGGGATAACGTTGACTTCTACAGTTAACGAGGCACTCACATGGCCGTGTAATGCCTCATTTTCATACCTTCTCTGTGACAATGATTTTAGCCCCATTTTGCAGATAAGGAAACTTAGTGAGTTCTCCAGGATTACAATGACAGGAATTCAGGTCACATGACACGCTACGTAGCTCCCACACATGCCTCCCCTCAGTAGATTTGTTTCCTGCGTTCCAAACACTGGGGTCTCCGAATGTCCTCCACACTGCTACTGCTGGTATCGTAGTCTTGTGTCAGCCTGACCCTATCCCTTCCCTCTACCCTTCCCCCCTGTCTCAGTCTAAAATACCATTCCAGGGAGAACATTATTGAGAGCTTCTTCAGTTTTTTCCACCTTAAAATTATTCTGACACTTGACATTACATTCACTCTTTCATAAAACACTCTTTTTTTTGAGAATGCTTCTTGACCTTATGCATTTATCTCTTTGTGAAAATGCCCCCTGTAATGCTGAAAAACAATGCTTTAAGTGTCCCCCTGAAACACAAGCACAT